GAAGCTCATCCCCCACCAATGAATTTGCACAGCAGTTGAAGCAAAAGCTGCAAACTGATGCATGGTTTGTGGCTCATCAGAGGAAGTTGACCATGCGGGAGGGGTTAGCGTGGAAGGGGGATATATTGTATGGCCCAGACCATCTGTGACTGCAGGTCCCACAATGCAGTCATGATGCTAAGCAAGCAAGCCACTTTGGGTTTCTGAAAACACTGCATTTAGCTAGTCATCAGTTCTGGTGGCCAAAGATGAAAAGGACATTGGAAGTTATGTGGGGAGCTGTACTGTCTGTGCGGCTAGCAAAAGACTACCAGGAAACAGTCCGGGACTGTTACAACAGGTGGCTGACCTGTTGGGAGGAGATAGCCATAGACTTTATAGTGGAGCTGCCTGAGAGTGGGAGAAACACTGTGATCTGGACTGTAATAGACTTGTTTTCCAAGCAAGCCCACTTCATCGTCTGTGCTGGCCTTCTCTCAGCCCAGAAGCTAGTGAAGATATTTTTGCAGCACATCTATCGGCTGCATGGAGCGCCTAAGCGCATCATCGCAGATCAGGAGGGGTCCAGTTCACTGCTAAGTTCTGGAGGGAATTTGTGGAGATGATTGGGTCTTCCCAGGGACTCAGTTCTGCTTTTCATCCGAGCACTAATGGATCAGCGGAACGAACTAACGCAATAGTGGAACGGTACCTGCATTGCTATGTCAACTATCAGCAAATGAACTGGTCAGATCTTTTGCTGTTTGCAGAAATGGCGTATAACATACATATGTTGTACATAGTATGTTTAGGTGTGTGTCATGTATGTGTTTCACTTTGAGAGCGGGCAACTAAATTTCATTTTTGATGTGTGCCGTTGTGCCCACAGTAAAAAAATGACAATAAAGGTTCTTATCTTATCTTATCTTATCTTATCTTATCTTATCTTATCTTATCTTATCTTGCCTTGCCTTGCCTTGCCTTGCCTTGCCTTGCCTTGCCTTGCCTTGCCTTGCCTTGCCTTGCCTTACAACACAGTGCATAGCAGTATGGTTTCACTCCATTTAAGTTAGCCATGGGGAAGGAGTTCATACACATTCCAGAGTACTCCCCAAGAGACCCCATCCTCAACCCACCAGTGACTGGGTGGGTTCTTTTCAAAAGGTTTGGAGCAATGCAAAGAGGGCTTTAACTAAGGCAGCCGAAAATCAGAAAAAACAGGCAGACAAGAAGCAAGCTCCCCAGGAGACATTCCGTGTAAGAGAGAAAGTGTATCTGTCTACCAAGTACCTTAAGCTGAAACAAAGTTGCAAGAAGTTAGGGCTGAAATACATAGTCCTTTCCCCATAGTGAAAGTAATCAACCCAGTAACTGTAGAGTTAAAACTACCCAAGGTTATTGAGTAAAGTGCATCCAGTATTCCATTGCAGCTTATTAAAGCCATACAAGGAGACCACTGCTGAGACCAGCGGAGACGGTGGCTCCTGGCCCCATAGTGATGGAAGGGGAAACACATTTTGAAGTTAAGCAGATCCTCAATTCCAGATTCCACAAAAGGAAGTTACAGTACTTAATTCAGTCAGAGGGTTACCCAATATCAAAATCCAGATGGGTGAAGGCACAACATGAAAAAGCAGATCATTTGGTAAAACAATTCCACACAAAGTCTCCCCAAAAGCCGGGTCCGATACAAGGGAAAAGTTAGCAAGTGTTGATGTGTATTCTTTTATTTTCTAGGTTCCCTTTCTTTCCTAGGGGGGGGGGGGTGATCTATCAAGCTACAAACCCTACTGCCTTTAGAACCGCAGCGTGCTTCTAACTTGCCAATAGAAGGGGGAGGAAGGGAAGAGAGCTTTAAATCTATAGGTGTCCTATATGAGCTTGAGACCTGAAGCTGCTGAAGAATTGTTCTGGCGAAACTAAAGTCTGTTCTCATAATAATTACTAGAAGATGTATTGGATAATGTGGGGTAGGAAAAGTTTTGTTCTTTGAATTAACTGCTTCCCACCATTTCCTTAGAGCTAGCTTCTGTTGACCCTACCGGTTTGATTCTGCTCAATAAAAGTAATCATTAGAAGTTTGCAAAGACTCTGATGTTTTGCTTGGTTGGGCTTTTCAGCCAGGGGTTGACATCTACATCTGCCTAGCCACCAGTTTCCCATGATTGCAGGTAAGATCCTGTTTGTGCAGTTTATTTAAAAAAAATATCCATTGAGGGAATACCAAGTTTTTGTCTGATGGACTATCTGCTCATATGCTAACTGGATCATTGGAATTTTGGGTTTGCCCTGAATTGGAAATGGAAAATTGTGTATTTAGAATTATATTGTGGCATCTGCCAACTCAGGAATTCCTAGGGAAAGAAATGTTGAAGATGTACAGAGGAAAGTGGTTGTGTTACAAGGGTAGTTCACATGTATTATATGCATTGGGGGAAGGGTCACTGCTGAATGAGGGTTTGATTGGAATAGATGGTTTGATTATTATAGTAGTTGGTTGATTGGTTACCTGGCTGGCTGACTGGCTGGTTGGTTGGTTAGATACTGGGCTGGTAGGAGACAGGATGACAGGAGAGAAGGAAGGGAATGGCATCCAGATTATAATGGGCAGGGAAAGATTTGGCGGGAACATGAGGTAGGTTTACTTCACAGAAGATAAACGTAATGCTTGAAACCAATTCTACCTTAAGGCACCAGTATTCACCCATAATGCCAAGTTATCAGATCCTCGGTGCCCCAGTCTCTGGCTACTGTTACTTAATGCCAGGTTGGTCTATAACAAAGCAATCCTTATCCATAATCTCATTCTGTATAAAGTGGCTGAGCTAGTGGTATAATTGAGACTTGATGCCAAAGAAGGGTTTTCCATTCTCAGAGGTATGCCCATCTGGGTTTTAAATGTAGCATCAATGATGAGCCTAAGAAAAGTGGGGGTGGGGTGGGGGTGTTATCTAAGAAGATTTAAAGGACTTCAGAGGCTTTGTGCTACAATTAAGTGGATGTGATTTTATTTATTTATTTTATTTATTTATTTATTAAATTTATATACCGCCCTATCTCCCTTACGGGACTCAGGGCGGTGAACAGGCGATACTAAAAACCACGATAATAAATAAATAGTTTCTGTTCTAAAATCGAATTAAATAACAGGCCTGTTCTAAAAACACACCCATACAAAACCCCCCACTGAAACATAATCAAACTATGCCAGGCCGGCCGCACGGAATAGATGGGCCTTCAGGGCTCGGCGAAAAAGGCGCAGGTCCGCAACTGTACGTAGGTCAGGGGGTAGGTCATTCCAGAGGGCAGGAGCTGCCACAGAGAAGGCTCTCCCCCTGGGGGTCGCCAGCTGGTGATACCCTCTGGTTGAAGTCAGGCTTTAGGGATCATTTGGGTTTATGTTGCTATATTGACTTCCCTGCTACAGAGCAACATTCCTGCTTGTTGGTGGCTGTGGGATCTCCAAGGCCAATAGTGCTTGGAGATTTAAATTTGCCATCATGTGATATTGAGTCTGGAGCAGCTCAGGAATTCAAAGTCATATACTTCCCAAATTCATTGGCTGTAAAATTCAACCATGCTGGCAATAAGAAAGGAGCTATGGCAATTGCAATGGCACTTAGATTTATATACCTCTCCATAGGGCTTTACAGCACTCTCTGGGCAGTTTACAGATGTCAGCATATTGCCCCCAACAATTTGGGTTCTCATTTTACTAACTTGGAAGGATGAAAGGCCAAGTCAACCTTGAGCTGGTCAGTATCAACCTCTTGCCTATGGGCAGAGTTAGCCTGCAATACTGCATTCTAACCACTGCATCATTATAGCTAATGAAGTCTTGCTAACACTCTTTGGAACAAGTTCTTCAGAGTCATTAAGGCTTCCTAGAGAAAGTGGTGGGAATTCTGTATTTCCAAATAGATGACTCTTGACACAGTTAATGTGACAATGTGGTGCTAGAACCCATCAGTAAGGAGATTTAACTGGATTAGTGACTGACTAGCTTGAATATGTTGTGGAAATAAGACATATGAGAATGATTTCCTTCTACATTGGTTATTCTCAGGGCCTAAATCTTACTCACAGTCAAACAGGACATTCCTCAGACATTTTCCTTGAAAAGAATAATTTTGGTTCAGTATCTGATTCTTTGCTTCTTGCCTGATACTCTGTACCATAATGACTCAATACGCCAATGGACATCATTTCACCAAGGCTCTCTGTCAAAGCTGCCTCTTCACAGTCTTCTAAGTTCATGCTTAAGTTGTCACTGATAATATTTAGCCATTTTGTCTTCTGTCAATCTTTTTTGCTATTGCCTTTGAAAAGAGTCTTTTCCAATACTTTTGTCTTCACATAACGTGTTTAAAATATTTAAGTTGTAGCTTCTTTATTAAGGTTTTCAGAGAGCAACCAAGTCCTTGAAAAAATTGTAAACATATTGCCTTGGAGTCTCTCTATTCAAAGGCAATCTTTGCTTGTGCAATACTATTACCGAATCATAATTTTTATAACTTTGCACAGCATCTTATGACAAGAGTTTTCAAACTTTTGCTAAAGAGGTTGCTAAAACTGTCAATTAAAAAATTCTCAGAATACCTTGATTGCACTAGAGTGAATTTTTTTTAGGCAGTGCAGATAGAAGGAAGGAAGGAAGGAAGGAAGGAAGGAAGGAAGGAAGGAAGGAAGGAAGGAAGGAAGGAAGGAAGGAAGGAAGGAAGGAAGGAAGGAAGGAAGGAAGGAAGGAAAATAATGAAATCCAATCAAATTCTCCAGAAATCAAGGGTTCTGCAGAACACAGCCTAAAAATCTCTAGCTTATGATGCCAGAAATTGGGGGGTGGGGGGTATTCTAAGGCTATATATGAAGAAGGAACAAGAAAAAAATTTGGAAGAATACCAGCCAGAAGAACATAACCATTCAAACCATGAGCATTTGAATAGCTTGTCTTTAATCAAGTTGCTTTTGGAGAGTTTGGTAGGGAGAACGACTATTTTACAAATGTGCATTTCTCTTTTCAGTGCATCCCAGATGAAAACCATGGATTTATTCTTGGAAAATATAGTTGTCTTTGCAAGCCAGGTTTCTATGGAGGACAGAGAACTGCCGCCTCCCATCTTTCTTCAATCAGTAAAGGCTGGTCTGGTAAATAGTGACAAAGTACAGCTTTTTGTAATAATATAATAATTTGAGCTACTATTATAAGTTATATAGGCCTAAAATATAGCATTTTAGAAAAATAAAATATTAATATTTACCCAAGGGGACCACAGGACAACCCTGTGGAAATGGCAAAATATGGGGAGGAAATGAGGACATAGTAAATAGAAATAAATATGTGGTTGTGTCAATTATATATACTTTGGAATTTTCCTGGAAAAGATAAGTTTGCAAAGAAATTTAAGGGAAAGGGGCAGATATTTATGGGAGATATTTTGGAAAATAGCATGAGGTAGAAAAAAATAATGAAAAAACGGACATAGCAGTTTTCAAATCCAGACAGTTATGAAAATGGGTTTTTATTCCTAAATACCTGTTTGATTAGAACTTAAGATACAAATTAGCTGTTCCAGAATTTCTATTGTCCTTAGCAGCTACCTAATGATTTTCTAATGTTTAAATGTTGAGATTTTAATATAATGATTTCTCTGAGATTGCATCCTTCATATTGTAGTTAGCAACTCTATGGGCTTTTTTTGGCTGTTTCTCATTCAATTTCCTATAACTACATTAATTTCCTGTTCGATCTTCAATGGTCATTGGAAGATACGTCCAGTCTGTTATTAAATATATGTTCACCAATCTTTCAAAAGACCAATACATCTGACAATATAGAAAGGGCTGCCAGTTAATTTAAATTGGGAAAAATGTTTGTCTGGTTCTGTCCCAAATGAGCACACTACAGATTTTCTGTTGCTTCTGCTAATACATTCATTTGGATAAAATCAGAGCACTATTTCTTTCCCAACTTAAATGAAAAAGCAAGTTTACCTACTCAAGTGCAATGTGGCATACAGTTAATTCTTGACTTATAATCATTCATTTAATGACCATTCAAAGTTACAACATCACTGAAAAACTGACATGACCAATTTGGGCTTATGATGTTTTTCACACTGCTCCACAGTCACGTAATCAAAATTTGGATGCTTGACAATTGGCATGTATTTATGACAGTAGCAGCATCTCAGGGTCATGTGATCACCTTTTGTGACTTTCCGACAAGCAAAGACAGGAGGGAAGGCAGATTCACTTTACAACTGTGTAACTAACTTAACAAGTGCAGTGATTCACTTAACAATTATGCCAGAAAGGTTGTAAATGGGGCAAAACTCATTTTACAACGATTGCATTTGGTCAGATTCTAGTTGCTGAATTAGAACTACCAAGCAGTTTTCTTTGTTCATTTTATTCCTAACGTATTTCTAACTTGAACATAGAGCAGATCATGTTTGAGAGATCAAAGGTCTACAAAAGGTTATCCAGTGTTGTTGGCAATGTCACTGCAAGGGGTATAAATTGAACTTTTGGTCCATTTTTTGCATTTGCAGGGATAGAGTTTGGGATAGAAATAGGAGATTTCCTAAGAGACAAAAGTTCAGACCCAAAAATACGTGAATGAGATTTGGTCAGTTTGCCATTGGATTTGGGCAGTGATAGAATTTCTGGATAGTAGAGATTGTCTCTATTTGCTTTAAAAACTAAATGGAAGGCAGGTATGGTCCTCTCCAGATAGTAATAGGAATGTACTCTGTATGGTAGTATACACCATATACTCCATATACTGCATATGGATGGTATATAGATTAATGAGACTTTATCTTAATTTGTTTTGCTAAAAAGTTGCCAAAATTCCAATAATTCTCTAAAATCAGGACAAGGATGTATATTTTTTCTTTTAAACTTGTAATGCGAGAAAATGAAAAATAAAAATAATATTCAAGCATAAATTAAGTTTTTGTATATGTACATTTTGAACTGGACACCATTATATCTAAATGACCAAGACAGCAGATATCTACTCAAAACTTTTCAAATGTTACACCTTCTCCTTAAATATGAATGTAGAGCAGTGGTTCTCAACCTGTGGGTCGGGACCCCATTTGGGGTCGATCGACCATTTCACGGGGGTCGCCAAGCAAGGCTGTCCGCCATTTTTTTTGTCCGCCATTTTTTCCCCTTTTCCAGCGGGTGCCTTACCTCCCTTGGGCTGGGCCAGCTGGTGGTCGGCCTGCTCCATCTCTGCCGCTTGCCAGCTACGCCTCGGCCGGCGCAGGGGGCGGAACCACACATGCGCGGCGCTCCCGTGCAGGGAAAGTCCTCGACTTACGACCGGTTGGGTAGTCCTCGACTTACGACCGGTTTAGTCCTCGACTTACGACCGGTTTAGTCCTTGACTTACGACCGGTTTAGTCCTCGACTTACGACCGGTTGGGGTCGCGGCATTAAAAAGGTTGAGAACCACTGATGTAGAGGAACATTCAGAATGGTGATCAGTAATAGTTATCAACTATTTTAATACATTGTTTTTCTACTCTTTTTCCCACCCCAAGGACAAAGTGCATCCCAGTATGGAGCAGTGGATTCTGGGAATTTGCTGCAATGCTATCCCTGTTGGGAAGGATGCATGGCCTGTATTGATGGCAAACCATGTCTGATCCAGGAAGACTGGTCTCTACGGGCTATTGTTCTTGCTTTCCAGGCATTCTGTATGCTGACAGTTTTCTTCAACATGTTAATTTCTTACCATTATAGGAAGAGCAAGGTACGGGCCATGGTGAGCAGTAGAACATTACCTGGGCTTATAAAATGGCTGTCCTGCTCTCTTGCTTGCCATTATTTTTTGCATAAGTTGAAAATTTGCACCACCTTAGAATCACCAACCTTGATTTCAAAGCACCATCATTTCACATTCATTTCTCTTTTCCCAGAGGATTCGGGCTTCAGGAGTTATTCTTCTGGAGACAATACTGTTTGGCTCACTCCTGCTCTATTTTCCTGTGAGTATCTGGATTGGACCCAAAGGGGCTCAGTTATCTGAGGTACATCAATAGTACTGGGCCACCAAGAAAAATGAATATGGCTTGGTTCACCATCTCAGTGTGAGTTACTCCTGGGAAAGAAAACTAATTTTCAGTGCCCTAACTCACAGGAAGGAGAATTGAAAAGGGATTGAACAAGCAGGTTTAGGCTGCGCTCTTAACATACTGCTATCCAAAGGAAAACATGTACTGTATGTTGGGTAAGCTGAGGCAAAGAATGTGTGCTTGAAATGGCAGCCTCTGAGAGTAGAGCCAGAGTCTGATGAGACAAAAAAAGGAAGCTCCATAACATTGGGCAGCATTTTGGAGCCTAAACCAATCTTTGGAGAAATTGCTGCACTTCTTGAACTATCTTTTTAGCATAGACATGCAGTGCTGAGTTCCAGTTTGGTGTAATTGCTAAGGCTTGAAACTGGGAGATTGTGAGTTCTAGTTCTACCTTAGACACAAAGCCAGCTGAGTGAATTTGGACCAACAAACATTCTCAGCCCTAGGAAGGAAGCAATGGCAACCACTTCGGAAAAAATCTTCAAGGAAAACTGAAGGAGCTAGTCCAGAAGGTATCAATGACTTGAATGCATCAAAAAAAAAAAAAGTGGTGCATAACCATGCAAATATGCAAACATAGATTGAAAAATACAAATCTTAACATTCATAAACATTACATTTATGAAAAAATAATGAAGCTTATTAGAATAATCTGTTTTGTGTGATAGCCCTGAGACATCTGATTAATCAATAGCTCAAGGACAGAAAGCCGAGTTGTGAAGCTTGAATCATATTTTGCTTTAGTCCAGTGTTTCTCAACCTTGACAATTTTAATTGCTGGCTGTGGAATTCTGGGAGTTGAAGTCCACATGCCTTAAAATTGTCAAGGTTGAGAAACACTGCGTAGTCTATTGTTCAGTGCAAACTCAAAGAACTGAATTTTTAAAACCAATCATGGTCAATTAACCGAGCATATTGCGCAAAGACAGTCTGTTTCAGACCCAAGACCAAATTTAGGTTTCCCTTCTCTTCCTTCCCCCCAATTCAATGCCCTTCTGAGAAAAGAAACCTTGTCTATCCATCACTATGTTTGCCTTTCCTTCTCATGCAGGTCTTTATCTTGTACTTCAAGCCAAGTATCTTCCGATGCATTGTCCTGCGATGGGTGCGCATGCTGGGTTTTGCCATTGTTTATGGAACAATCACTCTTAAACTGTATAGGTGAGACTTTTGCATGAAGTTGGATGAAATAGAGGGATTGAACCTTGGACTTTTTTTTCTTAAGTCTGTGATTAGAATGAATACTGGCAGCTGAATCCCTCTTTTGTTCAATCCCTCTAAATCCAGTGATCCATTTAATCCAGTACACTGGCTCAAAATTAGTTAGAGAAGTGCCAGAAATATTTCTCATATAAATTATATTGTGTGCTTACTCTGATTTGATACCGTTTTAACTGTGTTGTTTTTTCCAGGGCCTCCTGGGAACTGTAATTTCCTCTGAAGAAGAAATTATCAATGCAGCTAAAAAATGTATATAAATCCCAATCAGGACCCATTTTTTTGTCTTCTGTCTTTTTTGTCTTCTGTCTTTTTTTCTCTCTCAAGCTTTGCAAACCTTCTGAATGACGTCCAGCATGATTAAATGCTAGTTTAATAGTCTTTAAGCTCTTAATGTCCATTATTTATTTGTTGCAGTTTTTAGATTTTTTTTCTGTGCTTATTTTAATTTTATTAATTTTATTTTCCACTAAAAGGATTCACAATAGTCTCTAGATTAATCAAAAGACTATGTTAAAAAATGAAGAACCAATATTAAAGAACAATTGTTAACAATTAAAGCTAACTTGCAGTACCTAAACCAGTACCAATGCATTGCAGAAACTGTTTAGAGATGTTTGATTGCATAGGTCCCCCGATTCCTTCATGTACTTGAATACTGTAAATCATTCTCATTTTGCAAAGAAACAACGAGGATGGTTCTTCTTTAGATCAGGTCACTTTTGTTTTCTTGTCTCGCAGAATATTAAAGCTATTTCTGTCTCACACGGCTCAGCGAGTCGCTTACATGACCAGTGGGCGAGTGCTAAAGAAGCTGGCATTGATCCTGCTGTTGGTCCTTTGGTTTTTGGCTGCATGGACAGTGGGGATGCTGGAGAATATTGAGAAAAACATACCGCTGGTAGTCCGTTCACAGACTCCCAGGGGTCTCCAGTTTTACACCTGTGATCAAGATCGATGGGATTACATGATGGCTGTGGGTGAGGATCTTTGTCATGTGACAGGAAAGTTAGAGTTTTGATCACATGGTTGCAGCTGGCATCTGTTTATTCTATATAAATAATAATTAACCCTGGCTTTTGCTTTGTACAATCTCTATTGCATATTTTTCTTTTCTTCAACTTATCCTTGACCTTTCACTTTCCTAAACTCATCACCCATTGATTCTGCATTTACTTCTTTTTCTCAGAATAAGCATAATGCCAAAAGTTATAACTAATCATGATATCATTATTCTTTCCTAAATATCCTCTCACCTTGAATACTTATTCTCTTCCATCTTTCCACATTCATCCTACCTATTCCTTTCCTTTCTTTTCCTTCCATCCTCCATAATGCCTGTTTTGTTTTCAACATTTTGCTTCTATTGTTTACTGCAGCAATAAATAGCAATACATGTCCTCAACTTTGAGTTGCCACTGAAATGATTATGAATAGTTATGTGACTGCAGACACTAGCAGAAGAATAATTTGTACATGCTTCAGTGGTATAGAACTTCATTTCTAGCATATGATGAGTTAAATGGAAGAATTGTATCTCTGGATATGCAATTGAGTGTTCCTTCTCAGAATTTTGTCAACTCCAACCATTTCAGGTCAGAAATGAGTCAACTGATGGAATGATGGGAAATGTCTTCGTAGCAGGTTTTGAATATGATCCCATATCTGTCTGTCTCTGTCTGTCTGTCTATCTGTCTGTCTTCCTTCCTTCCTTCCTTCCTTCCTTCCTTCCTTCCTTCCTTCCTTCCTTCCTTCCTTCCTTTCTCTATCCATCCATCCATCCAATATACCATCTAGATCAGTGTTTCTCAACCTTGACAATTTTAAGGCATGTGGACTTCAACTCCCAGAATTCCACAGCCACATGCCTTAAAATTGTCAAGGTTGAGAAACACTGATCTAGAGGCAAAGGTTAAGAATACAGAAAACTATGAGAATAATAATACCATATCTCTGCTAATCTTTGTATCTCTTGCTGTCTAGCTGAAATGCTATTCTTGTTTTGGGGAAGTTTTCTCTGCTATACTTCTCGAACAATCCCTTCTGCTTTCCATGAACCTCGCTACATGTGCATTGCTCTCCACAATGAGCTGATAACTTCCACCGCTTTTCATGTTGTGAGGTAAGAGAAAAGGGGCTTTTTCAAAGAACAGGCTCAAGGCAATAATATTTTGAGATGCTAGCATTACTTTGATTCCCAGGAGCTATAAGAGTAAACACTGACCACAAAAGTCCTTGGTAAGTTGTGTCTACCAAAAGATAATTAGATGTCTCTAGGCAAGAACTACTGCAAGCTCCATCTGTAATCAGAGTGATAAAAGTATCTGTTTACATTGTAGGGCATTGCACTTTTTATTATAGCAAATGAAGGAACTGGAAAGAAATGTAAACAGCATGTTTAATAATGTAATACGACATAAATGTTAATACAAACAGAAAAAATATAGATAACGCTTTGAAAATTATATCATAAACAAAGCAGAAGTTGCTATGGAAAACCACATGAACAATTTCCTTAATATCCCCAAAAAGTGACAATAAAATTTGCTGGTTTTGTCTATGTTGGATTAGAACATAACATATTTATCTGAGTGCTCACTACAATAGTTTACTGTTACAAAGCTCATATGGAAGTGCATAAGGGAAAGAATAAAATGGAGCAATAAAATACAACCACAAGGGTACTAGAAATATTTAAGATTAAACTACTAAATTATTAAACTAGATTTGCAAAGATGTAAAAACATAATTAAAAATAAGGTATAAAATAAAATGTGTATGTATAAGTTATACTTTATTTTATAATTATGGTGTTTTTACATTTTTGCAAAGTGAGTTAATAATTCAGTGGTTCTGTACACAGACACACTTTTTATATACTGCCTTGTTTGTTTCTAGTTACAGTGAAAATAATTGTCTCTTTTTATTATCTCTGTCGTAACAATACAAGCTCTGAAACAGAATTTGGCAGCATTAAAAGCAACATGGTTTAATGGTTTGCAAGAAAAAAAATGAAAAGTAGAATTTGCCTTGAATGCCAAGGTACTTACTCAGAACTGGAGCTAAATATAGGTGACAAATATTGATTAGGGATGATTAGGGAAATGGAGGCTAAAACATATGAAGGAATTGGGTATGTCTAGTTTAATGAAAAGAAGGACTGGGGTGATCTAATAACAATATTCCAATATCTAAGGGGTTGCCAGAAAGAAGAGGGAGTCAACTTATTCTCCGAAGCATCTGAAGGCAGAACAAGAAGCGATGGATGGAAACCAATCAAGGAGAGAACCAACCTAGAATTAGGGAGAAATTTCCTGACAGTTAGAACAATTAACCAGTGGAACAACTTGCCTCCAGAAGTTGTGGATGCTTCAACACTGGAGGTCTTTAAGAAGAGATTGAATAACCATTTGTGTGAAATGATTATAGGGTTTCCTGCCTAAGCGGGGGGGGGGGGGTATTGGACTACAAGATTTCCAAGGTCCCTTCCAACTCTGTTATTCCTGTCAATTATTCAACAGCAGAGCAGCATATAGCTCCCAAACAACAGGGACAAAATCTGCCCCGAAAGTGAATACGCTGGCATATACCGGTAAAAAAGGAAGGAGGCTTTGAGAATGCAGTTGCAACTGCCACTTTGACTTTTTTAATCCTAATCTGCAGATATCCCTGTACATTGGCATCTTCCTTCCAGGCTGCATGTTAAAATAAGCCAAAATCCTATAATATTTTGCTGTAGCAAGATTATATTGATATTTAACAGGGACAAAAGATTTGATCAGATTCCCCTGATCAAAGCAAGAGAGCTCCTAACTGTCTGCAAATTGATATCCATTCTTTGGTATTAGGCAACATTTTTTGCTTTGGGCGAACCCAGAGAATGCAGGGTGATTGTAGTTAGATTAAAATTTGTCATTTTGCCTTTAAAGTTTTCTTCCAAGTTGAGTACAAGCTATTGTTTAGTGTCTGTGGGGCTAAACCCTTGAAATGTCAGCCACTAGGACAATGGTTCTCAACCTGTGGGTCGGGACCCCATTTGGGGTCGATTGACCATTTCGTGAGGGTCGCCAAGCAAGGCTGTCCGCCATTTTTTTTGTCCACCATTTTTTTTGTCCGCCATTTTTTTCCCCTTTTCCGGCGGGTGCCTTACCTCCCTTGGGCTGGGCCAGCTGGTGGTCGGCCTGCTCCGTCTCTGCCGCTTGCCAGCTACGCCTCGGCCGGCGCAGGGGGCGGAACCACGCATGCACGGCGCTCCCGGGCAGGGAAAGTCCTCGACTTACAACCGGTTGAGTAGTCCTTGACTTACAACCGGTTTAGTCCTCGACTTACGACCGGTTTAGTCCTCGACTTACGACCGGTTTAGTCCTCGACTTACGACCGGTTGGGGTTGTGGCATTAAAAAGGTTGAGAACCACTGCACTAGGAGATCTTAATCTCAATCACAACAGTGCTTCTGCTGAGACCTGCCTCCAATTGAAGAGTGACTTTGGGGGAACACTAAGATTTAACTCAGAATTTAGAATGAATTGCTTCGAAAAGGGGAAATCCTTATAAGCACATATCAGTGCAATGTGCAGTTCTTTTTTCTTAAAATTCCTAATTGTAGATGGGACACTCAAACCCCTATTTTGGGGAAAGAATATGAGAATCATGGATAGAGAGGAAGAACACTAATTTAAAAATCTGATATTTTAACAATCTTGATGGCCCTGTATGGAATGGACAGTAGTCAGAAGAATTACTTATATACTGTGGACTAAAGTAGCTCTTAAAATCTTAGTATCCTCTTTTAACAAGGAGACAGATCAAAGAGGAGCGAATTTGCCTTCCTTTGGAATAATTATATTCATTTCATAATAACTAAAGAGGAGGATTTCATCTGAAAAAGCTTCACCGTATAATTCCAGTAAAAGAAAAGATAAAAACTAAGAGTGCATACTTAAAAAATTGTTGAAAGGAGCGCTTAAGATCATTTTGGAGCATGAGCACAACAGTTCTTTAAAGCAGTCACATCATTGAAAATGAACAGGGCCAGTTTCCCAGTTTATAACATTATTATTATTATTATAGAATTAATAAAAATATTAAAAGATATTGATGTGCGATGAATGTGAAAAAAACACATCTAATAGCCAATAGTGAAGAGATTGGCAATGTCAAAATTATAATAAACCTCTTACTATAATAATAATAATCTGACTACAGATTTTATGACTGTGTATTGTAGCAGAGATACACAGATATAAAGATAGTGATATAGCTGAGGAGAGCAATATAATACTTTGGACAGGATTGTAAAAACATGCTTTGACAATTTCACTTGTGCCTGGAATATCTGTCTGCATCTGTTTGCAGCTGGATTGCATTAAAAAATCTGTTTTAAATACTTGAAGACAGGTGCTCCAAAGCAACATGCTAAACCACTCTATAACTCAGTGTTTCTCAACCTTGACAATTTTAAGGCATGTGGACTTCAACTCCTAGAATTCCACAGCCAGCAATGCGATAACTGAATCTGTGTAAATATAAACAAAAATATTAAAAATAACTATTTCCTGTTCAATTTACTTATTTAAAAAGTAATGATTCAGCAAAGATATATTCAATGACCATTTGTAATGTGTTTAGATTTTTATGAACTTCATAAAAACATGATCTGAATGAATAATAGCACCTACTTCATGCTTTTATTTTTGATAGCAAGGAAAAAAATCTGAAAACAATCTAAATGAGAACAATTTTATGTATAGAACAAAGGAAGGTACATTCATACTGAGAAGGAATAATACAGCACCAAATAACCAGTAAATTAAATGTTAACATGGTTATATTTTAGCAGTGTTAGATGTTTTAAGTATTTTAACTTTTAAAAAAATGCTCTTCCTAGTACTGTTACTTCTTCAATATCCCTTGGAGAAGATATTATTAAAATTGCAATGTGCTTTGCTTGGCTAAAATTACCATTTATAGAGAATGTTTTCTGCAAAGCATTCTTTTCAATAGGCACAATGTTAATCTCATACCCTCCCCAGCTTTTTTCAGTTTTCAATTTGGCCAAGCTGATTTTTGAAGAAGGCCAACAAATAGAGAATTTTTTTTTTAATGCCTGTTGTCCGATTGAGTGAACTTTTAGCACACCTACGGGAAGGGTAGGGGAGGCAAGAGGGAGAGGGGCATTGTAAAGACCTTTACATTCCTGCATGTGAAGTGCTTATCTAATGTGGTGGAATTCACAGTTGAAAGAAAGGAGGCCCCAGTGGAAGTTGAGAGATATGCCAGTCTGGACTTTGTAGGTGGGAGGAAGCCAGTGAGGCCAAACACTTAGGTCTATAGCTGACTTTCCCAGGGGAAAACAGGCGAGATTTGGTGAGATTCCTATGTTCAGTTGAGTTTACAATAAAGGAACGACTTGAACTAAATTCCAGAGCTGCTTTTGTTCTTTGTGCCTGACCTCTGAAGACTAAATATTAAATTGTATCAAAACAAGTACTAGAATTAAGAGTGATAATTTTGCTTGCTTTTACTTTTTCTTTTGTTTTTTTTTTTCAAATTTAGTCTGGCACCATTCTGACAAGGAATATACATACTATATCACTATTTCTTCCAATCATTTTCTATCTCCAGTGCATCTTACCATGCCATTTTCTCCATTTCTGTCTTCAGGTTTTTAATGGTTCCTTCCTTGCATCCCGACTGGACACTACTACTATTTTTCATTCATACTCATGTCACTACTACAATGACACTTGCACTTATTTTCATCCCAAAGGTAGGATGAATCTTTATAAAAAGTAAGCAAAAAGGTTCTATTCTTCTATTCTTCCACTCCTTCCACCCCAAAAATTGAACCAGGTTTAAGATGTAATACTGTTCTGTTCACTTTCCATTTTTCTATTTTGCTTTTGTTTTAGGGAATATAGTTTTCAGGAACAAAAATCTAAAAGGTGTAAGAATGTACGGTATATTTGCTGTGCAAAGGTTTAATGCCCTAAATGTGGAGGGGGGGATGAGTGTTATTATTTATTTATGTATGGGAGGAGTTTGACTCTGTGGCTCCCGAGGACGTGGACAGGATCCTGGGGAGGCTGAATGCAACCACATGTTTACTGGATCCGTGCGCCTCCTGGCTGGTACTGGCGGCTCGGGAGGGTACACGAGCCTGGCTCCAGGGAATTGTAAACGCTTCTTTGTGGGAGGGTGCCTTCCCCGCGGCCTTAAAGGAGGCGGTGGTGAGGCCCCTCCTTAAGAAGCCCTCCCTGGACCCAGATGTATTGGCTAACTATCGCCCGGTCTCCAACCTTCGCTTTGTGGCGAAGGT